CAGGGTGTCGACACAGGACTTGTAGATCTCTGCAGGAATACCGTCCTCTCCGTCATCGTAGTGCTCTAAGCACAAACACTGTTTTGACCACTACACATTCCTATACAAGAGATTACAGTATTTATAGGATGTAGTAGCTCCGTTACCTAATACTTTTAAAAATCAACGCCTGTCACTTCATCGGCGATGACTGTTGCCGGGGCATGAGTTACCCATACCTGATATTGTCTCCGATAACGGGTCAAAGCACGAATTCGAAACATCAGGTGGACAAAGTTCTCGTTCAAGCGATCTCACCTTCGTTTCAAATGCTTCCTGAAACTCACATTCTCGCTTGTATATATGTATATATACAATTATTGCTCTAAATATGCTGCTTCACGTAACGAAAACCTGAATTGGTTACAAAAACGAAGTAACAAAATAAATTATTTACACCTCAACTGTCTCAAGAGAATAAAGAAGGTGAAGTGTCGGGACAGAATGCCAGACAGCGCGCCCTTAAGGTCGGCGTTCTCTGTAGCTAAGTTAGGCGGAGGATGATCTACCTGTTTGGTAGTAACTACGTCGGGCAGATGGATGACAGGTGTTTGCCCAAGCGGCTATTCTCCCACGTCAGCCTGGGTTGTCACAGACAAGTAGACAAAAGCATCGATACACGAAAACCATGTGGACCTCGGTCAAGAGCATAAAATCCCTTTAAGACCCGGGAAGACGTCATAGCTTACCGGCGGGCGCGACGCACTGCCACAAGTACTGAGACAACCATATTTGAATATCAAGGACGAAGGAGAGGAATGGCTGGCAAGACTCACTTGCCTCGGACTGATAATGCGAGTACCCAATCTCTTCCATTGTCTCCACATTTTCGACAGACCGATTTTGTTTGGACACTTCCGGACTCAGAACAATGTTATTTCAACCAATCCGCCTCCCATCTCACAAAAAATGGTCACAACCAGCATCGACAACTGAAACAGTCATCCCATCCCATCTTCATCGTCCCGTTTTTAGCTTCATCGCAACCGCACTTTCGAATCACGCATTTGCTCGGTCGGCCACCTGCAAAGCCGTCGTGCTTCAACCAATGGATCAGTGCCAGAAGTCTCGACGTACACTTGTCGCCCACCGCTCGCCTGCATAGGAGAAAGCTGCCAACACTGCATCCTGTTTTGGTCTTCTTAATTCTAGATTAAGGTACAGATTGCGGTAGACGTCTGCAACGTCTACGACCACTTGAATGAAACCCCTGTTTACATTCACCCTCCCTGAACCAACATGTTTGGAGCATATGGTGGAATTCATCGAAATCGATTATCGAAAAATCATGACAGACACCATATGCATCATTTTGGCCAGATGAAGGTACACGAAACTCTCCAGTATAATACCATAATCCAGACCCTCAGAACATGTCTTCTTGCCTGTATAAACGACTTTAAGTTACACATGGTGCTACTCGATCACACGCATTTACACGACAACTTTCACCAGCGAGACATATAACACTCATGCAGAACGCACGCAATGTAAATGTTTAATGAATGCAACGAGTGAGACATCAAATGCGAGGAGGAGCACATCTCACTCCCAAGGGAATCGCGTTTCCTGGTGTGACATCGTGCATGTACAGCGGGGACCAGGTCGGTTGTGGCGCGCGTAGACCGGCCGTCCATTGTCCCCAACCACTACGCCTAAATCTCATCACCAATTCGTTTGACTCAGACAACCGATACCTTTTTAAGGAACGAAATACCAATACAGGGGAATGCATCCTCAGGGCAAACCAGCACATTCCTCATGATAATCAATCCGGCGCACTGTCAGCCGTGGCCTGGAAGGCTGCCAATTGACTGGACAACCGGTACTTCTTCGGAACGAGGGACGGACAGTAAATTACTCCTTGATGTGGCCTTCGTGGCACCGCAATTGTTAGACGCTAGTCCTTGTGTAGCTAGCATCTGACAGGCGCCTTGAGATAACTCAGTCATTGCATTGTTTGATTTTCAGTATGTTTGCCTCGGGTGAGCCGACG